AAAAGGAAGAACTTAATAATAACTATAGTTATCTAAAATGACACTGTCATGTGGTAAGGTCACTGTCACTGGAAACATTCAAAATGAGGTTGTTTATAACATCCTGCCAGGGAAGTGGTAGACTGGATTTCTCTTCAACAGATGGTGAGAAGTTGGACTACATGACCTGTGAGGTTCCTTACAACTCTCTCATTTTATATAGGATCTCAGCTCTTAAAAATTTCAACTAACAAAGCAATGTAAGATACAGGGGGGAAAACCGCCTGAAAGAACTAAATAATTATTATTTTTTTAATAATCTTTTGATTTATTATCACCTAAATAACATCTTTAAAACACATCTCTAATACAAAAGGAAACTAAATTGTCCTAAAAGCTGACCAGGCATACTAAGAAATATTATTACCGTGTGCATAATATAATTAACATTCCTGGAAGCAAACTGCATATAGGATTACCACACCACGTGAATGGAAGCTTTAAAACTAAGAAAACAACTTTGACCAGCTATTCAGATAATAAATGCATGTAATATTAAGACATATAAAAGAAATGATACAAGGTAATTTTAATTTCATAGAAAATGCAAAGTTAAAAAGTCTCTACTAAAAAAAGTAATTGATACAAAGTATAGATGAATGGCATAACATAAATTAAAACTCAAGACAAAAAAAATCAGCAAAAATACTATAATGAATTAGATGTAAATCCTCTCATCTGCAGGAGAAGCAAAGTAAGTTACTAAAAAGAGAATCCACTATGCAGTTAAACAAAAGTCATAGAACCAATTTGACCAAATGCAGCTAAAAAGCCGAGGGCACTGAGCTGGGAGATTGAATCCATGAAAGCCTCCTCCTATCTGCAACCCCACCTCCACTGGCACTGACCACTCAATTCTTCCCACTGCAACCAAGCCCACTCGACCACCTGGGAGATGGGATTTTCCTTAGACCTCATTCTAGCTGGAGCCTTTTATCTCTCTCAGACCCTTAATTCCACTGTCTAATTCTCCATTTATGCGCTAAGCATCAGCTGGAAGCTATTCAGCGCTCCTATTCTGTAGGCTGCAGATTATAATCTACTGCTCCTTTGCACATTCAGAACCACCATCTAACTCTGCAAAAATCCCTTTCAATGCTCCTTTGCCCACTCTCATCTTCAGCCACAGTCATGTCCACCCTTGGCCCTTGGATTTCATTCAGCATTGTTTTGTACTTCTCATGTAATAATGTTTTTTAATTATTTCTATTAGCTAGACTGGTACAGGGATGGTATCTTATCTAAAATTCACATCTGTCATTCATGATCCTCACCTCTCCACCCTCTTCCACTGTGATCTCTGGAAAACCCTCTTTCCTGTTAACAAATATCCTCAATCTCCTCCATTTCTCCTACCTTCTAGCACTGAAAAGTGCTAACTGAAAGCTGGCTTCATCCTCTTTTGATGGCGACCTCACTGAGTTATAGGCCCTGGCCATCAATCAGCACGTCGTGTATTGGCACAATCTATGCTGACCTGAATTTTTTAAACCTGCCATCTTCACACCCTTGCTCTTCTACCATCACTCAACATCCTTTCCTCCTTTATAGTACAAGGCATCTAATTTTATTGACCTTTCCCTAAGCCTTGTTGCTACCATCTTCAGATCTCTAGGATACTCTCTCACCTTCCTGGAAAACTTCAGTACCTGGCTTACTTCTTTCCATCCCAACCTCTGACACCATACTCAGTGGCTTCAGGATGTTTGTTGACTGCAACCACCCTGTCATCTTGGTTCATCAAAATCAATTGAATTCAATTCCCTAACACCCATCTCCACTCATCTCAGTGACTTAGAAAAGTGGTCACAGCCTGCACCTTACCATTACCTGAAACTGCTTCACCTCCATGATGCTGAACTCTGAAACTCCCAAGTCCTTCATTATCTTACTCCTGCTTAAGGTTGTCTTCATCCTCGTGATCTCTTGCTCTTACCTCTGTTCTGGATTCCATTTGCTCCCTTCAGTCTTGATCCTATAGTTAGTCATTTCAAAATGCATGGTTTCCACTTTTGAATCCCCTCACCTTCCCACACTGATGAATCCCACGCTGATAAGGCTTAATCCCACTTTATCACCGTATTACCTCTTTCTCTACTTTTTCAACTGCAACAGTGATCACTCTCAGAGAAGTCCCAAAACCAAGCCGATTTCCCTAGAAATCCCTGCTACTTTATCTGAGAACTCACTGAACATGACAATTCTTTTATTCCTGTCTCCCTATCACACTGTGACCAAATTTGTCTTTCCATCCTATCAACAGGTCACTCTGACTTCTATTTTTCTATTAAGATTGAAGCTACCCCAGTCATGAGCTCTCATAGTCTTTCTCCATACCTTAAAATCTCTTTATTTACTCTTTAATCCTTTCCACATTCCCTCCAGTCCCGAGATTCAGCAGCCCTCTTGATTCTATGCCATCTATTCAGCATTTCCTAGGACCTTGCTCTGGCAATAATTTTTTCTTCTCATGTTTAAATCTCTCCCTTTATGGCTCCTTTCCTTCTGCCTACAAACTTTCACCTAAAAGAAAGCGAACAAGGTTCTTGACTCTACTACCTCCTCAGACCATTGCCTGTATCTCTCCTCCCCTAATTGCTAAGCTTCTAGAAAAAGTAGTGCATTACTCACTCACCATTCATTCCTTAACCCCTTGTGACCTGGATTCAATTCACAACACTCTAAAGAATTCCTCTCTGAGATCACCAATAGCCTCAATTTCCAAATCCAACCGTCCTTCTCTTAGTCAGCAATCCTCCTTAATCTTTCTATAACCAATGTCAACCACCTCCATCCTTTTTGAAATTTTCTCCTCTTCTAGAGGTCATGTTCTCAAAGTTCCTTAATTTCCAACCCTAATATTTATCTGCATTTCATTTCCACCACTGCCTGGCATCCTGTTCCTTCTCTGAAAAATTCCTATTTACAATTTCCTACCTTCTAACATTTCCAAATCTAATTTTCACCTTCACTCTGACTTCTGGTCCACTCAACCCTCCCGAGTCACCTCCCTACCTAGCCTGGACCCCATGGTCAGATTTCTAGATTCTTCTTCCAAATGACCATTGGTTTTTACTCTCCTTTGTTGGTTCTCACAGCTTCAACTATCTTAACAGGCAAGTCTGAAATCTACATATAACGAGCTGGTAGAGTGTTAACAACTGCAACCTACATGCCAAACATCCCCATGTAGATGTCCTGCTAGAAACTCAAATTCAAGAAACTGAAAATGGAACTCGACATCTCATTTAAGCCTGCCCCTCGCTCCCAGTTTGCCCATTTCTATAATAAATGTACTACCATCCTTTGAAGTTATCGAGGCTCAAAATGTTTTCTCTCAGTCTTCCTTCCCTCTGTATAGTTAATCAGTTGCTTAGTCCTATTAATTCTACATCCATAAATCTCTTTAGTCTATCCCTTTCCTTCTATCTACAAAGCTATTGCCTTAGTTCAGACTTATCTCCCACCACTTGAATGACTGGAATCTCTTTCTGTTTTTTCCTATATTTAGTCTTTCCTCTTCAAATCATCCTTTATACAGCAGCCAGAATCTTTCTAAGGCACAGGTCTGATGTCACTCCTCTACAAAAAACACTTTCAGTGTCTCCATACTGCCCTTTGGACAAAACATATACTTCTCAGCCTGGCACAGCCTACCATCTGGTACCAACTTACCTTTCCAGCCAAACTGAACTACAAGATGTTTGTCAGGGTCTTCTTGCTTATTCCTGTCTCTGTGCCTTCTCAAAGGCTACCCACCATGCCTAGAGGCTACGTTCATTAGATCTCTGCCTGCTGAAGTGCTGCTCTTCCTTCAAGGCCCAATTTAGTTACCACCTCATACAGGAAGCCTTCTGATTCCTCACCAGGAAAGGGGGAGAGGGGCAAAATAAAAAGATCTTACCTGAGACCCCAACCTATTCCCCATGAACCCCCAAACCTAGAGTGTTCTCCCCTTCCTATTTCACAAAGTTTAATCTCAATCTCATTCTCTGCTTTTATTACATTACACCTTATATTATATATATACCTATTATACCACACTTGTTTGTGTACATATAGACTACATGTTCCTCGACAGCAGACAGCGTCACTTTTTCACCTCTGTATCTTCGCCACCTACCTAGCACAGTGCCTTAGGCAATTCATACATTTTGGTGAATTAAATGTTGAACAGTTTTACAGTTGGTGGACATGTAAAACTAGCAATTTTCTTGAGGAAAAAAGGACCTAAATAATAAAAGTGATAAAGACATATCCCCTGCTGGGCACAAGTTGTTCCATAGGAGGACAGGACCTAAAGAAATTCAAGACAGAAAATTGAAACAAATTACATTAAGAATGACATTGGCAGCAAATTTATTTTTGCAGCACAATGAAGAAAAGAGTTGTACCATCTTTAAATGCATGGTTTAATAAACATATTTTTTGTAATGTTAGGAAAGTAAATCACAATAATAAACAAGATGTGACAAATCTGAGATGCCAACGCCTACATTTAATATGAAAAAAATCTAAGTTCAGAAAAACATTTTGTACCCTCCTAAAATAAAATTTCAAAAATACCAAAGGGCAATTAAAAAAGCAAACACAAATACTTTCATTAGTCAAAGAAAACTACACTCAGCAACTTCAAGTTCACACTATGAAAATATGATCTCTTGATTTCCAGGATATTTGCCAATCCTGCTCAACGATATCAACAAATGGCTGTCTTCCTCTTCATCCTCAGTAACTGCTGAATCCATACTGATGGCCCTCTAATACTCTGTTCTCAAAGTTCCTTAATTTCCAACCCTAATATTTATCTGCATTTCATTTCCACCACTGCCTGGCATCCCGTTCCTTCTCTGAAAAATTCCTATTTACAATTTCCTACCTTCTTAACATTTCCAAATCTAATTTTCACCTTCACTCTGACTTCTGGTCCACTCAACCCTCCCGAGTCACCTCCCTACCTAGCCTGGACCCCATGGTCAGATACAAAGTTTTTTTTTTTTTATTCAACTTTACAATTTCTTGTCCCCGTTTGAGGCCAAGGGGCATGTAATACCAATCCCCAAGTTTGAGTAACATCAAGTCTACCAGTACTCAAAGCCATCAGGACTAGGCAGCCTAGCACATAGAAGTTTACTAACAACTGCAAGTGATATATGGGAGATTTACTTACAGAGGACTCAGCTAGCTTAGACTGCCATGATAGGGGTTTCCTCTGCTTATGGAACAGGATATTTTTACAGAAAGGTTTAAATATAATGGCAGATGCAGTCACAATACAAACACAAATTGACCAGCCACAGGTTTCTTCTCTGCTTAGGTAAGGTGGGAATTGTTCAAGTCTAGGTAAAATAGTCTGGCCCTGTCCAGATGCAACACTAAGCTAAGAGTGATGGGCTGATACAATCTAGGGAGAGATTTCCACCAAGGACTGTATTTGCCTTTCAATTTGGAGGTACTGATTTATTAGTCTCTGAAAACCAAAACTGAACCAGGTTATTCCCATTCAAGTCTCTGAGACCCCTACTTGGTAGACTACCTTAACTTCTTATAACTGAGATTTCAGGCACATAACTTGAAGAGGCTTGAAGGTCTAAAATAGTTTTAGGGCCTTAGCATGGGTGCTGGACTCAGCAATTAGCAGCCTCCTTCTGCTGTAGGTCTTTGCGAGTTTATCTGACTTCTACTCTTCTAGCTGCACAGGAGTCCAATACTGGGCTGTAGCCCGGAATAATTAGAAAGCCCTACATTGTGGTAATGACAGCACATCCAAAAAACCCACTGGATAGATACAACTCCATGAACTGTAAGGTCGGGGCAAAAAACCCAGGTAACAATTTAAAGGGAGAGCCAAATTTTGAGAGACTAGTGATCCAGCATTCAATCCTTGAGAACATGTGAGTAGGGTCCATGTGTCCTGGAGTTGTGCTGTCAACGTGGTACATTGCCCAGACCGTTAGCATACTTGGTCCTAGAGAGGTGCTTTTCCCACCAACAGGGCTGAGTCTGCAAGGTCCTTATATTTATGACTTAATACAGACAGGTAGTTCTAGGCTCTGTAAAATTTATCTGGTCCCACAGGTAAAAAATGAAAAGTTCAGAGATTGGGGATATATATATACACACATATACAGGTATATCTATATATATATCCACATACACAAGTATATATGGATATATATCGCTCGTATAGCTACTAACTCAATCTAGGGTTCTCAAACTATGGTGTGCCCCACCTGTACAGGGCACAGGGGTTCAACCCTGATTGTCCTGAACTTCCAGCATTAAATACATCCACATTGTCATTCCAGTGCCAGTAAACTTTCCAAATCCAAAGCTCCCCTCCCTTCCTTGATCCCTTGCCCTCTAGTTTCTGATCATCAAGAAAACATCCCAAGAAAATAAAGTATCTTTTCTTAGTAAAAGGTGAGGGCTTAGATCTACATTAAGGAAAGTCTGCACAAACCTTTGTCAAAACACAAGATGAAACAGAAAACTGTGGTAACAGGTGTCTAAACAATCTTATAAAACTTGCCCATTTCCCAAACATCCCAAAAGGCACGCATAGATAGGCACTACACCAAACCCAAGACAGCAATAGCACAAAGTTGATAATCAAAGATACCGAATCAAAAGTTTTCCCAACATTGTGACACCCTTCCCCACCCTGTCAAATAGTTGAGGCAAAATTCCTTGGCTTGAGCTAGGAGCCTCTGTGGATGTGGGTGGAGCACAGGTCCAAACCTGGTGCTTAGTTTTCGTTGTTGTTGGGAAAAAGAACAAGGCAGGTCAGACTAAAAAGAGAGGTGGTCAACAGGTAAAAGCTAAGCTGACGGGGGTATGACTTCTTCAAGAGGCTTGAAAGGGTTGTTTCATATGTTCGAGGTCATCAACTTGATAATATGCAGGGAAGGCAGCTTCTACAGGGCTCACTGTAGTAAGAGTGCTTAGGGAGAGCAGTTGATTCAAGAAAGAAACTCGTAGGTTCTAGTCTTTTACCCTGGGAATATCAGGGTCTTTAATTTCAAAGTTTTATAAAATCTAGCGCTAGTCTGGATACTTTGAGATGCAACAAAACTGTAGGTCTCATTCCTATATTAATTGCATTCAAAGGTTCAAATATCAGGTTTGAATTTTCTGATGCTGAATGAGGTCCAAGCTCTAGTTGAAGCCTTAAACATACTGTTTACATTCATAAGGGTTTATTTCCACTCTGACATTTAATAGCATCAAAGATCTACCTGAAGATTTTCCAACATTCTTTCCATTCATAGGATATTTCTCAAATATGACTTATCTTAAGTGCAATCAAGATGTGCTCCATGAAGGCTTTCCCATATTCATTACACAGAAAGTCAATCTAGCTTGAATTTTCTGATCAAGGCATGCTGAACTCTACTTGAAGAGCTTCCCACATTATTTACATTCACGGGGCTCCATGTAAATTCTGATATCTAATGAGGTGTGAATTGATAGAAGGCTTTCCCACATCCATTATCTTCACAGGGTTTCTCTCCACTGTCAATTCAATTCTCTGGTATTCAAAACGCTATTGCTAAAGGTTTCTCCACACTCATTAAATTTCTAGGATTTAATTTCACTGTAGATTCTCTGATGTTTAATGTCAGATGAGCTCCTGCTGGAGACTCTTCTAGTCTTTATAGTCATAAGGTCTCTTTTTAGTATGAATTTTCTGGGGTTCAGATATGGTTTGAGTCGGTCCTTTCTCACATTCATTACACTCAATAGGTTTCTCTGTCCTATGTATTTCCTGATGATGAATAAGTTCTGATTTAATTTTGTAGGAGGTTGTTTGGTTTTTTTTCTCCCCAGATTCGTTTCATAGAGTTTCTCTCTGTCATCTTAAAAACTGCATTCTGCTTGAAGCTGTGGCCATATAAACCATATTCCTGGGCTCTCCCTTCTACAGGATCTCTCTTACGTAAGAGTTTTAAAATTGTCTCACATTCGATAACAGACACAGCCTCTCTCCCCAGTGAGGACACTCTTCTGCTAAATGTTATATGCCTGAAATCTTTTTCCTGAGAAAGATAACGAAAGACTGTGTCGCAGTGGTGTTTTAGGCTGTGTCTCTAACCTACAATCACTGCCAGAGGCTTGTCCACAGTTGGGACCCATGAGAATGTTCCTTGGGAATCCTGATGATAATATGCCCTGTGATTGGACTTCTTCAGAAATTTCCCACTTCGGAACAGACTCCATGCTCTCAGTTTCAGTCCTGTCATCTGAAATGATAAATAGAAAACACCAATGGGGGGACTTCTGAGAAGATGGCGCAGTGAGAGAGTGCAAGGGAGCCAGGCTCCTCACGATTCCCCTGAAAAACTAACAATAAAATGTCCCAAAGAAACCATATCATTCAAAATTCACACAAAATTAAAGTACACCAAAAAGACAATGAGCAAACCAAAGAGCTCCAATATAATACAAAAATATTATAGAATAAAGGAAGCAAGGACAAATGTACCAAGAAATGTATACAGAAAGAGAAGCAGTGCAAAGAATCCTGAGATCTTCAAAATAGACGCATTCAAAGAATTTAGGGAAGAATAAGCAAGAAAATCAGAAGAATTAAAAGATGTCGACAAAGCTAAAAAAACTTAGAAAAACTGAAAAAAATGAGGGAAAGAAACCTCAAATTCCACCTATAAAGACTGATTATAGTCTGAAAACATCAATTTTTAAAATTAAAAGCAAATTGAAGACCAAATGGCAGACAATGTAGCAGTGAAAGCAGAAAAAACAAGCCCAGAAAATAACTGAACCAGGAAGACATCAGGAAACTGTACAGCAAGACAATTCAGGAACAAGCAACCTCAGAATCTCTGGACTCCAATAAAAAATTAAAGATTCTTACTCATGTACTTACAAGTAACTGTTCTGCTCCAGAAAAACAAGCGACATGGGAAATAGGAAGGATCTACATAATTAAGGAAAAGCAGAAAACTCAACTCTCCTAGGCATATTAATCTCCAAACTTCACTGTAAGTCAGCTGAAGGCAGACACCAGCTATCAAAACGCATCAATTAAGCACTCACTGGATTTTTCTAAAAGAACCAGGAATGAACAGAAAAGTATACAACACATATAAAATTGAAAACAATGACCTATAACCCAGATTAAATTTCCCAGAAATTCTAGCAGTCTAAAGGAAAGAGATGAACATTTAAGAAGGAAAGCAATTCTAAAGAATTTTGGATATGTAGGTATTTCAACACAGCCTTCACCAGAGCAGAAGCCTTCAAAGCTTAAGTAGCAAATACTAAGAATACTTATTTTGAAACCAAAATTATCCACTGAAACAACTATAAAACCAGTGTTTCCTAAATTACTGCATGTTACAAAAGGGAGCCCTGTGGCCCAGATAAAAAAGGAGGGAGGAAAAAAGGGAGAAAGGGAAAGCATAGCAATCAGCAAAGTGAAGCTAAAATCCTTGCAAGGGAATAATAATAATAATAATAATAATAGCATAATAGAGGAATATTGTTAGGTATTGTTTGTTGTTTGGTTTATTAACAGAAATAAGAGAAGTTAATACGCCTTTCTGACAAACAAGTAATAGAACTATCAAAGAATGATAAAAGTCAAATTTAACTGCCATATCTAACATAAATAAACAGAACTTTCTGCTAAAAAGAAAATGGGCTATAAAATGGTCAAAAAGCAAAATTCAACATTTAGTATAGATTTGCAAAACTTTACAAGTTAGACCAAATTTTGTCACGCTATATCTAAATCAAGAAAAACAAGATTGATGACTCCCAACAAAGTTGAATTCAAACCAGAAGGCATTAAAAGAGACAAATAAGGAAACTATATTATGCCTAAAATTATTCAAAATCAGAGAATATAAATTTTAAATATGCATGCACTAAACATAGCAGACGTTTAGAAAGAAAGGCTGGCAGTCTCGCAATAAGTAGTAACAAATAAATAGCATTAGGAGATTTCAATACCTTAGTATCAGAATTTGATAAATCAAACCAAAAGATAAATAAGATAATAGAGTTGAACAATGAATTTAATAATTTTACAAAGAAAAGTTAATGGGAAAAGTTAAGAATTGCTAATAAGATGAATCATAAAAGCAAATTTTGGAAGGCAAAAATTATATATATTACATTTACTTCACATAATGCATTGAATCAACCTCTTTATTAAATAAATCCAGGGTGAAAGAAGAAGTTATAAAACAGATACCTCAAAGCTATGGACAACATTCCACAATCTATGGGATATTGTCAAGTCAATGTTCAGATGCAAATTTTTAACACAGAATATATATAAAGAGAGAGAGAATGAAAACATTTAGAAAAGGAACAAAGCAACATACCAAAGGAAAAGAGAAATCATCAAAATCAGGGCAGAGATTAATAAAATGGAAAATGACATAAATAAAATGATAAATAAAACCAAGGGCTATTTTTCTTTAAAACATTATCAAAAACTGATAAATTAGTGAGAATTTTTTTTAAAAAAGAAACAAGAACCTCAAATTATCAAAATTAGACATGGGAAAGGGAAGATCACAATAAATGCAAAAGAAATTAAGAAAATTATTGAAGACTACCATGGATAGCTTTAAACTAATAAATCCTTAGTTTCATGAGCCATGAAGAAAAATGGATGAGTATCTATAAAAATATAAAATGTCCAAACTGACAAAACAGAAAAAATAATCTAAATAAACTGATTTTGGAAAGAGAAATGAGGCAGACTATTAAGGAGATGTATTTCCCCACCCCCCCAAAAGATACCAGTCCCAAACCAAATCACAGTGAATCCTCCCACAGCTTCAAAAACCAAACCACCCCCATATTACATAGACTACTTCTAGTTAAAAAGACTACATGCAACCTAGTTCTTTTTATGAGGCATTTATGGTTTTGATCCTCAAATCTGGCAAAGATAAGGCTGAAAAAGAAAATTAACGTCCAACATCATTAATGAATGACGCAAAAATATTAAATGAAATACTGGCAATAGAATGCATCAATTCTATTTCTCCCCCACCCAGCTAAAATTATTTATTATGACCAAGTAGGATACCTGGAATACAAGGTTGGTTTAATGTAAGAAAAAAAAAATCAATATAAGAAATCATATCAACCAAAAATTTAAAAAAAAAAACTCTTACCAATAGATGCAGAAAGTCTTTGATAAAATACAGCAATGATTTAAAACATTTAAAAATATAGTAATAAAAGGAACAATATGAAAAAATAAAAGCGATAAGTGGCAAAAAAAAAGGAGGTTAATCTCTATTTGCCAGTGACATAATTATGTTTCTTAAAAATTCAAGAGACTAAAAAAACAAAAAAAAAAAGGGAGGTAATAAGTAACTGTAGCAAGTTAGCAGAATATAGGATAAACCTATAAAAATGATCTGCATTTTTATATCACCAATAAAAATGAGGAAAAGTTGACAGGAAAACAAATATCATTTATAATGATAAAATAAATCAAATATTTGGTCACAAACTTACCAAAACACAAGAGACCTTTACAGAGCCAGACCTGAAACTATTTTAACTTAAATCAGGTGTCAACTGCAAATGGTTAGAGGTAAAGCTAATATAAACTAATATAAACTATTTCTCAAATTAATTCATAGATTTAATTCAATACCAATCAAAATACTAATGAGCTACTTTATAAAATTAGATAAATCCATTAAAAACCCATTATAGAAACTCAAACAAGAATATTATGAGAAAGTACAGGGGTTGAGATTGGACTTGCCATATTAGATTTCGAATAATCAAAACTGATATTTGATTAAAAAATAGATCAATGGAAAAACAGAAAATTCAGAAAGAGAATCTAGTATACATAAGATAAGTGCTTAATAAACCCAAAAGAAAAAAAGCAATCATTCAATGAAAAATTCTTCAGAAAACTGGATAGCAACATAGAAAAAAAAATTAATGTTGAGGTATATCTCATATCGTATACCAAAGTAAACCATCTGGATCAATGATCTAATGATTTTTAAGTCATAAGATACAGAAATATAAGAGTAACAAATTTACCTCAATTGTAGAAAAGACAAAAAAATTTTATCTACTATCAAATGGTAGAAAGTATAAGAGAGAAAACTGACAAATCTAATTATACAAAAATAAGAGAACTACTATCCCAATGGAGACGTGGTCAAAGGAGAAGGAATACAGTTCTCAAAGGGGGAAATAACTTCTCCATTAATAACCACTTGAAAAGTTGTTCAACTCTCCATAAGTCAGAGAAATGACAAATGAAATAACTTAGGACATTCCCTTATAATACCCAATTTAATTTTGGAAAAAAAAAATGGCCCCAAACCATCAAAATTTATGTTGGTGGGGTTGTGGGGAAATAGGCACTCTATTTCATTATTAGTAAAATTATAAATTGATACAAGGTTTATTTGAGGTGACTGATCTGGTAATACACAGTAAGCATTACAAAATCAGTCATACCCTTCAATCAAGTGATCCCAGTGCTGGGAATATATCCAAAAGATGCTATTTAAAGTAAAAACAAACTACCCATACAAATATATTCATAATTCTCATTTGTTATAGTGAAAAACTGGAAACTACTTACATGTCCAATGACCGGGAAACAGTTGAATAAACTGTGGTATAGCAATGTAATGGACTATGACTGCACTGTAAAAAATAACAGTTATGAAGAATACAAATATGGACAGACTCCTACAACTGAATAAAAAGCACAGATACCAGAATTAAGAGAATAATATGCACAATGACTACTGCTATATAAAAAAATGACAACAAAACTAAACATGCAGCCAGAAAATAAACTGGAAGGGGATACAGAAAATAAATTACTACTTTTCAATAAAAATGTAACTAGTTCCTATTTATGGATTTATCAAAGGATATAATTCCATACTCTGTTTTTGATGAGATGCTAGTTGGATTTAAAAAAATTTTTTAAACAAATAAATAAAAAAAAAAGCAGCAATGCTACCTGTCTCCCACAGAAAGAAATTAACTCACCTGAAACTGAGGGAAAGAATCCTCAATGAACTAACAGCTTTTCAGACAATTCAATGAATATTTACTAAACAATTACTAGGGAGGGGAAAGACACTCCAGTATGATTTATTCATGCAACAAGCCTACTACCTACTTTGTACCCAGCACTGTGCAAGTTGTTGGGGATACAAAGACAAAAACAAAACTGTCCCTGCCCTCAAGAGGCTTACATTCTACTGGAGAAAAAAAGCACATACATAGAAAATTAAATACAAAGTACAAAGAAAATAATTTTCAGGATGAAGACACCAACAAATGGGGGATATTAGGGTAGGATTCCTGTAGGAGTTCACAACTGAGCTCAGTTTTTAGAGGGAAATGAGTACCCAAGACAAAGCCTTGGGGGCTATAACATCCAGCAAGGACTAAGGAGACTGTCTAGTCAGGTAAGAGGAGAACTAGGTGAGAACATTTTCATGAAAACCTACAGAGAAGAAATAATCAAGAAGAGGATGACAGTCAAAGTCTACAAGTTTCAAGAAGGATGAGGACTGAGAAGAAGGCATTAGATTTGGCACTTAAAGATAATTGATTTAAAAAAAAAAAAAAAGGATAATTGGTAACTATGAGGAGAGCAATCTCAGTTGAATGATGATGGAAGCCAGACTGTAGAAAGTTAACAGAATAAGAAAGAAGTGAAAGTACCACTTGTAGATGGCTTTCAAGGAGTTTAGTCACAAGAGATACAGGGCGATAGCTAGCAGGGATGGATGGATTGATTAAGTGAGGGTTTTTTAAGGATGGGGGTTGACATGGGCTTGTTTGTAGGCATCAGGGAAGCAGCCAATAAACAAGCAGAGATGGAATATTAGTGAGTGAGGATAACTGAGGGGGAAATTTGCTAGAAAAGATAACACAGGATGGGATCAAGGGTGCATGTAAAGGGGGGGTCTACCTTGGCAAGGAGCAGATCCATCTCTTCACGTGAGACAGGGTGAAGAGTAAATAGTGGAGGAAGACATATGGGTGATGCCATCTGGAGGGGAGGGGAGAAGGAGCTCTCAGTGAATGGACTCAAGCTTTTCAATGAAATATGAGGCAAGATTCTCAGCTAAAAGAGTTAAAGGAGGGGGAGCTGTGAGAGGACTGAGGAAGAATGAAAAAATTTGGAAAAGCCACTGTGGTGAGTGGAATAGTGACTCCATTAGGGAGGTGTAAAAGGATTGCTCTGTCACAGTGAGGGCTCAGTCAGCAGAGTTGTGATATTCTCTAGCTTCTTTCAGCAACACATAAATAGGAGCAAAGCCAAAGGATGATGGAGTAATCTGAGATTGAGGATTGGCAGGGCAAGATCAGTAATAAGAAAAAGGGGGCAAAGACCAAAAGTAGAAGATAGTGCAGAGTTGAACTACTCAAGATTTGGAAGGTAGGAAAATGTAGCCAGGGTAGGAGTAATGAGCCTAGGAAAGAACTGAGGGGTAGAGGGATTGGTAGTCACAATGAGGATAAAGAACAGGGTTAGGGGTTATAAGACAAAGGGAAAGATGGAATGACAAAAGATTATGATCAAATAAAGGAATTTCAGAGTTCATTAACGTGGAAGTGGAACACTTATATATGATGGAAAAATCAAGGGTATGACCATTTCTATGTGTAACTGAGGTAGGATGAAGGAGTAGGTCATGGGAAATGAGTAAACTGAGGAACTGGGAAGTTATGATGTTTGAGGGTATATCAATATGCTGAAGGCCCCAATTATGAAAGCAGGAGATGAAAGGAGAAAAACTGAACCAGGCACAGAATTCATTGAGAAAGTAAGGTGTCCTGGAAGTTGGTAAGCTAAGATCTCCTAAAATAAAATGCTGGCCTGTGCCAAAAGGTTTAATTCAAGACTTCTATGCATAACAAAACAAAAAATCCACCTCACCCCCCCAAATCCATTTATAATAATACCCAAGTAATGAAACAGATGCATTCAATGAAGATATTTGACATGAGAAACATGATTCCCAGAGGCAGAATTCAAAGTCAGAGAATTTAGGATGTCAGGGAAAAGTTGCATGACGAGGGATCACAATATTAATGCCATTTAAACCTATGATGCAACATGACAAAAGAATCTTTGGTGACAACATTCCCAAAGTTCACAAGACAAGAGATATTTCCTTAGTAAAATAGAAAAAGTGAGCTTTAAAAGGACTGCCCCCCTCCCCAAACACACACTTAAAAATAAGGAAAAGTTAAATTAACATGGCTTCAATTCTAATTCTTATTTTCTATTGGAAAAGTAAGTAGATTGAAGCATACTCAATTACCTAAATGCTCTTTGGATAAATTCTGGTCCTTTTTATCTCTAGCTCAGTACCTTGTACACAGTAGGAGCTTAATAAGTGTTTGATGAAATGAACTGGATAAACATGAGATTCTAGTCTAAAGACCCTTTAACAGCTACAACTACCAAAATAAAAATAGTTCTAAAAAGCTTTCAAAATTATTTCAGTTTTTTAACTACAAGGCCTATAATGGTTGTGTTCCCAACACAGGCATGGGGGATTAATTAAGGAGGGGTGAATATCATGAGACTATTAACACTAAGTAAACTCCATGAGATTAGCGACCAACTGACTTTTGTATTTATATCCCCAGGTCCTATGCATCGCACATGGTAGATTCTTAACAAATGTTGATCTACTAATACTTTAGGACCACAAAATTTACCCTTCATGTGCCCCATAAAGCTCTCAGTAATGGTTTCCTACTCATATCACAGTCAGCTTTTTAGAGGGCAATAAACTCACTATATAAAATATGTACAAGTAAATAAATTATAGCTACCTATTGTAATTACAGAGTCCACCTTTGTCCACCATAAGGAATTGTTTTATTTAAGGATTCTTCAGGCCAGTCCCTGGAACTCAGCCCTTTGTAGACCAATTAAGAGGCAAAGTTAAGATCTTAAAGTGGCTTCAGTGTAATTATCAATTCCAATGGGCTTTACAATGTGGGGACAAAGGCTAATATTTTCATAAGGAAGCTTTGTTCAACTATTTAAGGCAAATGCCTTTTAACATTACCTCCACATAAAGATACCTGGCAATTAAATTTTATTTAGAGATATTATTATTATTTACATGTACCTTCTCCCCAACTTATATGAAATATTTGCTGTGTGACCTTAGACAAAGCTATAATCTCCATAAATGTGCTTCTTTAATCATAAAAACAAGGGGTTTGGTCAAGATGAACTCTGGGCTCCCTTCTAGCTCTAAAGTTCTCTGAATATATGATCTGGATAAATATAATTGCTATTGTCCCAAACTAGATCATAAATATTGGCCAGTATCTCCTACTTCTTTTGTAGCCCTATATAGTACTTAGTAAAATCGTATTTGTTAATAATTTTAAAAATCACATTTATATAGCACTTTAACATTTATAAAGACATACCAAAATTCAAACTTACCAAAGAGATATATTAGATGAGTCTTTGCCGTACAAAAGACTGGACCCAGAGGACCAACCAAATGAATGGGACCTCAAGTTCCCCTAAATAGTGGAAATACAAAGGCTGAGATTTATCACTCAAAAATTTCTTTACTGAGCAAGGAAAGAAGAAGAAAGGCTGACTTTGGGTAGGGAGTCCTATCACACAGGCCATCGACCTTAATGGGAGAATGATGAAGGGCATATAACAATAATTATAGCTCATATTAATACAGCCCTCTAAAGTTCACTATCTAATTTTTTAAAACTTTGCAAAGTATTATTCTCTCCACTTTACAGGTGAGAAAATGAGGCTAAGAGATACTTCGTAACTTACCCAAAAGCACGCAGCGAGAATGTGTAAGATAAACTCTAAACTCCTTAATCTTGTCAGTCAGGGCCCTCCCCAGATCGGGCCTCGACATACTTTTCCAGCCTTACCTCCACGCCAGGAAGCACCGCTCCCGCCAAACTGGTGCCCTCATGGCAGTACGGGCGGGGTCTGGAATTGTGCGGGAGGAAGGCTGGGGAAGCGGAGGGGGAGAGGGGGCAAGGGCGAGACCGGCCCGCGCAAAGGGTGGGGGGGATGCCTCATGGCGTGGGTTAGGGGCGGCCAGCGGGGGGAGGGGGTGCCACGGAGAGTCAAGTGAAGAGACCGAGGGTCTCCGTGGGCTCCGGGGGTGGGGGAGCCAAGTCCGGGAAGAGGGGGGAATGTGTCCGAGAGGAGAGGGAGAGACAGCTTTTGCACCCCAAAGCCGACTCACCTGAGGCGGGAAAGAACAATGGCACCTGAGCTGAGGCTGGGCGAGGCGCGGACTACTGAGTCTGCCGTCGCGCCCCTCTCTCCCTTCGAGGACACTTCCGGCTCCGCTCTAGGACGCTCCGGAGGACTCCCTTTCTCGTTGGTCGAGCCCACCAACTGCGGGCGAGGAGGAGGAGGGGCCCTGGAAGAGAAAGGAGCTTGTTGGGAGGTGGGAGGAAGAGCGCGCTCCAAAAGTGAGGGAGGGGCAATGGTGTGACGAAGAAGGGGGCGAGCGGCCAGAGCCGCTGGACATCGACTGGGGCGGGGGGGGGGAGTCGTAGAGTCTCAAAGATCTAAGCTGGATGGGACCTCGGAGATTATCTAGTCTAGCCCCTTCGCTTTACAGATGGGGAAACTGAAGCCAAGGAAGGTTACGTGACTTGCCTTAGGTCATATCCTTTAGTAAGTAGCAAAGCCATTATTCAAACACAAATACTTTGATTCCAGATCCAAGACTCTTTCCACTTTACCACTTTTATGGTTCGCAATCTCTACATCTTCAATTTCCAAGGAACTGTAACCAAGGATACCAGACTGGGGAGACCGTTTTGAGGTGGTGGGGAGAAACTATGAAGGGATCACTAGATCATAGGATCATAGATTTAGAGCTGGAAGAGACCCCAGTAGGTCATGGTCTAACCCTCTTATTTTACAGAGCAGGAAACTGAGGCATAAGGAGGGGAAAGGACTCGCCCAAGGTAACACAGATAAGTTCACAGTGGATGCCCTCCACCATCTCTATAGAGGTAGGCATCTCTCCTTGAAGAAAAAGGATGTCTTAAAAAAAAAAAAAAAAAAAAAAAAAAAAGGATGTCTTTGGATGCCTCAGGTCTGACTTACTGGAGAACCAGCCTGAGAGGCATCTCTCTTCACTGCCTCGAACCTTTCTTAATAAACATGAGATCTTTGGAAGAGTGTTGAGTCAACCCACCCTAGACCCAGCCAGAATCAGTCCTCAAAACTTCAAGGAAAAGGAGATGTGTCACAAAATCCTAGAATCTTAAAAGAGGACCCTAGAGACGTAGTTCCAGTCTCTTAAATGCAGGAATCCCACCTGTGGCATTCCTGACAGCAAGCTAATCTAAATCCCAACACAGCTCTCAAGAAACAACTGCCCTGGTCTGGTGGTACTGGAGCCAGAAAAGGCTTTGCCAAGGCTGGATCCCAAATACAGGTCCAGACCTCATCCTAAGGGAATTGGGGTGAACTTCACCTGCCCAACACTCTCTTTCAGCTTCCTTCCAATAATGCTAGAAGAACAGAGAAGTTAAGTTGGGGTGAGAGGGGAGGAAAGCAGTTGAGCTGAAGGAAATATGAACAGGAATCCATTTATGAAACTAGCTACGGGGAGAGGATCAGGAAAAAAAGTTGCTGAGGCCCCTGTGAAGATGTTAAAATTCCCATTACTCATGAAGCCAGGTAGCTAAGAGTCTCAAATAGTAGACCTTGGGGGGGGGGGGGGGGAACGACAACCAACAACTCCTGACTGCCTGAAATTTTTCAGTTAGTCACTATGCCTGTAACCCCACAAAGCTCTAAATTCCCCAGAGAGGGTTAAGGGATAATTCCTTTAGTCAGATTATACCATTATTACATACCACAATGAGAGAATGGGTATTTTCAAAGGGGGACAGTAGGAAGGAGAGGTATTTTGGAGTCTGCAGAAAACTTTGATATGGGGATATGGCAACCCGAGTGGTACCACTGTGGGGGCCTTTGGACACTAGGCACTTGGCAAGGAGGAAAAAGGAGACATCAGGAGGCTGGAAGAGGGGTAAAAAGGGAAGGATATGGTGCTAATATTTACAAACACCAGCCTTTTGCATCCTCCTGAGACCAGTCAACTAGCATTTATTAAGTGCCTACTGTGTACCAGGCACTGTGCTAAGCACTGGGGATACAAAGAAAGGCAAAAGTCAGTCCCGGCTCTCAATGGGCTCATGGTCTAAAAGGGAGACAACCCACAAACAAATGTGTATTAACAAGATAACAGACAGGATAAATTGAAGGGTGGTCTCAGAGGGAAGGCACTAAGATTAAGGTCCGGGAAAGGTTTCTTGCAGAAGGTGGGATTTAGCTGAGACTTGAAGGAAGTCAGGAGGTGGAGATAAAGAGGGAGAGAATTCTTGGTACGGGCAACAGTCAGTGAAAATGCTCAGAATCAGAAACTGAAGTGTCCAGTAAGTGAAACAGATGGGAAGCAACTTCTGTCACTGGGGAAAGGGGATCCAAAAGAGATGGAAGTCCCTTGGCCCTTTATTCCCATCAGGCCCAAAGTCATCTGTTCCCAGGATGGATTATAGTTCTATTCACACAAGTGCAAAGCTTAAGGGAACATGGGCTGAAAGAGTTTATGCTAGAGGGAAAAAAAGAGCAGGGTGGAAAGTGTTTTACACACACACACACACACATACACAAACACACACACGACTGGATCCTAAGACCATAGGAAGTCAGTTTGTGGTTGACCAAAGGAAATCAGTAGCTAGTCGTAAATGTCTGGGTCCCAGCAGCATGGGACATAGAAAAATACAGACTAAACTCACAATAAGTCCAGCCCCTCAGAAGTCCTCTTTCTTTCTCATTGGCTCTATCTCCCAATGCAAATTACATACACACACAAACACACACACACACGCACACACACATATAAATTCTATATATTCCCAGAAGTGGAGATGAGGGAGAGCATTCCAAGCAAGGGGTACAACCAGTGAAAGGGCACTGACAGTGAGTTGGGAGATGGGCAAGTGGTGCTGGCCTAGGAAGCTTTAAGCATCTTCCCTTTCCAGTGAAAAACATTTCCTCGACACGTAGAGCCCAATTAGAATGATATGGGTTCTAGACATTTATGACCAGCTACTAACTTTCTTTTGTCAACCATATACTGACTTCTTAGGGTCTTAGGGTCCAGACTTCAACATATCCGTATACCTAAGTCATAGGTGATAGAGATCTCTCATAAACTGTTGTTTTCTCCATTCCATTTTTGCCCTCTTGCCCTCAGCACAGTGCCTGGCACATAGTAGGTACTTAATAAATGCATGTTCACTTGATTTGGCTGCAGGAAGAATTGTGCAATTGTTTTGTCTTGGCCACAATTTCTCCCTGTTTTTCCCTCCCTCTCCTTTTTTTTTACATTTTCTTTTTAAATTTGAGGTTTAAAAAAAAAACATTTTATTGCTGTTCTTTGTCTTTATAGCAGTCAGAGCATCACAGATTTAGACCTGGAAGAGACCTTAGATGTCATCTAGTCCAACCCTCTTATTTGACAATTGAGGAAACTGAGGCCAGGCCTGAAAGGTACAATGATTTACCCATGGCCAGCCAAGTAGTGAGAGGCAGAGCTTCCCCCACCCCCCAGATTGATTCTTCCCAAATATCTGACATGATGAGAACATCTGCCAGGGTTTCCAATACTGCATCCCTGACCCAAGGACCTCTGTATGTTTCACTATCTGTCCTTCCGGAAGGGCTTTGGTTATTCAGTTATTCAGAATTCAACTTCCTTTTTGTAATGTTTGCATTTGCATCAGGGCAGTCATCGAGTATGTCGTTCTCTGGGTTCTGCATATTTCATTCTGTGTCATCTCATACCAATCTCTCACATTTTGGCAAATTTCTCATATACATAATTTCTTACTCAAGGATATTTTTATTTACACACCATAGTTTTTCTTTTTCAATAATTCATTATTAAATCACTACCCACTTTGTCTCCAGTTTCTCCCCTCCTCTTCACCTTCAAATACTAGCAGCAGTCCTGAATCTGATGCCACCTCCCTCCATTTCCCTTCCATGTAAAGCATCCCTCAAGTGCCCTGAATCTCAGGAGGCAAATAAGGAAGGCAAAGCAACATCAGGAACTCAGATTTATTCTAGTCTTTTCTCATTTTGACTCTTTTCAGGCAGCGCAGTGGCAGAGGAAAGAGTGTCGGACCTGCAGTTAGGAACACCAGACTTAGAATCCTACCTCAGATACTATCTGTGTGACCCTGGATGAGTCACTTAATGTCTCTCAGCCAAACTTTCTCCTTCTCTAAAATGGGAATAATAAAATTTGCCTCCCAGGGTTTTTGTGAAGATCAAAGGATGTAACTTTGCAAACCTTAAAGGGTTACTAAATGCTATCTGTTATCATTCTAGTTTCATGCTGACTTTCATCTTTCCTCTAACAAGTGTGGGGTACGTGGTTAGATGGTTGGAAATGACTTCCACATTGGTAACCAATCATCTCCTATCATTTACATTTTATGACATTAGCTGGTGCTTAACATATGCAGTCCCTCCTGACTCTCTCAAAGAAAGGATTCATGATTTATAGACATATCAACATCTTTCCTTATGCCGACTTTTGCACTGAAATCATCAACTATTAAAATATATGTCAATTTAATTTGGAGAGTCTGATAAAGTCCTTCACATAATTTCTCTACCTCCTCATCCTTTGAAATAGATGCTGGTGTATAAGCTGCAATTATTCCCATTGTGATCTTGCAAAAGCTTAGCTAGAGCACTGCAATAGGAGATGACCAAAGAGCCCATAAAATCATGTTTCTTGTTGCCTTTGGACATCGAATAAAAGTAACTCCACCAAGTCCTTTATTTGCCTCTCTCCAAGGAGAACCTGGGAACCAGCCTTCTATTTAATGTTGATCTCCTTCTCTCTTCTGGTTTCATTTACAGGGGGAATGTCAATATTGCTATGATTTGATTCCTCTGGCAGAAAAGCCATTGGTTGGTCACCCAATAAGGATCTCACATTTAGAATACCAACAGCTATGTTGATATTTTTAGATAATCTAAAGACTATATGCTCCTGAGCATCCTCTGCCCACTTTTCTGCCACTCTCACTGCAGATCAGAAAAAGGTTGCACAGGACAATGTCTTTTTGTATCTTTTTTTGTTTTGTAATCTGTGTAGTGAAATCTGGGGGGACCCAAGAGGGTTAGTACTCACCAATCTGGGTTTCTGAGGTCAAGGCCAGATAATAGCAGTAAGGATCCAATTAAGAGGGGAGCAAGAAGCCTTCTATTTCTAGCCAGCCAGGATAGATACCAACGTGGAAGGCATCTACAATGAGT